CATCATCCGCTATACTCAGGCTTCTCAGACTGAGAAGTCAGTAGCTGATGATAGTAGTTTAAGTCTACCAGCTAAAGACGTTCAGCCAAAAGGGACTGGTAAGCAGTCCAGACATAAGCAAACTGAAAGTCTTTCTAAAATTGACAAGTCCGGCAAAAAAAATGGACCCCCTCCAAAAAGGGAGGAAGAAATCTTTTGAAGTCTGCCATATCTGATAGTATAGATATGGAGGCTTCCGAGGTTGATGCGGAAGTTCTCAACCCCCCTTACCGCAAACCTCGTAGTCCAGTCAAACCACCCTGACAATGCATCAAACAAATAATATAATACAATGGAATTGTCGAGGTTTAAGTCATAATCTTAATGAAGTTCAGGTATTAATGCAACAAACAATCCATTGGCTATTTGTCTCCAAGAGACTTTCCCTAAGCCAAAGGATTTGCGTTTAGTGTCATTTAAACATTTTGTTTCCTACCACCATTATGGCACTGGTGATGATAAGGTCTCGGGTGGTGTTTCTATTATTGTCAATAGGACTGTCGCCCAGTCCGAAATCACACTACATTCTCCTCTGCAGGTAATAGCCGTGTGAGTTACACTCCACGTGCCTATTACCATTTGTTTCATCTACTTACCAGCTTCCTTCTCCTTACATTTTGTCAGGAGATTTCAATGGTCACCATTCTTTCTGGAGTAGCTCCGATGATAATACCAGAGGAAAATTAATAGCTGACTTCATTTATGACAATGATCTTTGAATCTTTAATGACGAATCGCCTACGTATTTCTGCTCAAAAAACTAAACCTTTTCTCATCTAGATCTGACAATTATCTCTCTATCTTTGTTCCAAGATTTTTCTTCGAGTGTCCACGACGATCTCTGCCACAGTGATCATTATATTGTAATTCTACAGAATAATGGTCCTTCACCTGTAGACAGGTATAATTCTTCCTCTAACTTTTCCTCGGATGCTTTTCGGAGAGTCAAACTCCGGGAAGAGAGGAAAAAACTTAATTTTATCAAAAGTGAAATATTATAAAGATAAATTTAAGATCTCCGAATTAAAGTTTTCTCTGAAACAGGCTCATGATACAGCTACTGGGCCTGGTGATATCCATTACCAGATACTAAAGCATCTCCCTTATCCAACATTAAAAAAACTTTTATGTATATTCAACCAGATTTGGGATGACGGTGTATTTCCTCCATCTTGGAGGATCGCTACCAGTGTAACCATTCCTAAACCTGGTAAAGATCCTACGAATCCTACTAATTACCGCCCTATTGCATTAACCAGCTGCATTTGTAAAACCATGGAACGAATGATTAATCGAAGGCTCGTTTGGCACCTTGAGTCAAACAATCTCCTTACCAACCTCCAATGTGGATTTCGGTCCCAAAGGAGCACTCTTGATCATCTCGTTAGATTTGAATCGTTTGTCAGGGATGCCTTCATCCAAAATAAACATCTTGTAGCCATATTCCTTGATTTGGAGAAGGCTTATGACACCACTTGGAGATATGGCATTCTTCGTGATCTCTTTGACTTCGGTCTCAGAGGAAGATTGCCATTATTCATCTCCAATTTCCTACATGATAGGACGTTTAAGGTTCGACTTGGCTCCATTTTATCAGATCCTTTTCCTCAGGATAATGGAGTTCCACAGGGTAGCATATTATCCATTACCCTGTTCTCTATTAAAATAAATTCCATCACGTCGTGCCTTAGACGAGGGGTTGATGGCTCTCTGTATGTTGATGACTTTCAGATGTGTTATGGCTCTACAAACATGCAGACGATTGAGCGTCAGTTGCAGCTTTGCTTCAACAACTTACAGCAATGGGCAACTGACAATGGATTTAGGTTTTCGAAATCCAAGACCGTCTGCATGCATTTCTGTAAACGAAGAGGATTGCACCTAGATCCAGAACTAAAGCTGGATGGTGCTGTCATTCCTGTTGTGCGGGAATTTAAATTTTTGGGACTCACTTTTAACAGCAAGCTTTCTTTTCGTCGACACATTAAAATCCTCAAGAACAAATGTCTGAAAGCTCTCAACATACTGAGAGTCTTATCCAATACTGACTGGGGAGCCGACCGAAAGGTCCTCCTCCGATTGTATCGAGCTTTGGTTCGTTCCAAGCTCGACTATGGGTGTCAGGTGTATGGATCAGCTCGTCCATCCTATATCAAAGAGCTTGATAACATACACCATCAAGGACTTAGAATCAGTTTAGGTGCGTTTCGCACTACTCCAGTTGAAAGTCTGTACGTCGAGGCTAATGAGCCCTCATTGTACGACGGACGTGACAGGCTTTCATTGCAGTACGCTATCATAGCATCATTGCCACAACATCCTGCTTACTGCCCCGTTTTTAACCCTTACTTTGATCAACTGTACGAGGTAAAGCCTGTTTCTTCTTTTGGAGTCCGCATTCAACCCATTATGTCAGCGGCTGGTATAAGCCACGACAGTATTGCGGACTTCGTAATGACCACAACTCCACCGTGGTCTATTGCTCCATTTCAGATAGACTTCAGTCTATCGAGCAATAAGAAAACTCAGACAAGCTCTATAGTGTTTTAATCTAAATTTCTAGAACTAAGGTCTAAATATGGGGATTACTCACCTTTCTATACAGATGAATCTAAGGATGGTGATAAGATAGCAGCCGCTACAGTTACACCATCCGAAGTTCTATCTGTAGCTTTACCATCAGCAGCCTCCATTTTCACAGCAGAACTCATTGCCATTTTACAGGCACTTGAGTTCTTTCAGTCCTCTACATCATTAAAAAATGTATTCTATTTTCTGATTCTTTGTCCTCATTACAAGCTATTTATAACATCCAACTTGTACACCCAATAATCGGGGATATATACAAGCTCTCTGGGCCGAAAAAGGACATTGTCCTTTGTTGGCTCCCCAGTCACATGGATATACGGGGGAATGACATGGCAGATGCGGCGGCTAAGGCTGCTTTGTCACTGCCTGTTTCCCCCTTTTCTTTGCCTTTCACCGATTTTAAATCGGTGATAAGGTCTTTTATTCAACGTCGATGGCAGCAAAGATGGGATGCTGCAGACACTAACAAGCTTCATGCCATTAAGACTCTCATAGGAGACTGGCCCTCCTCCTATTGTGCCAACAGGAGAAATGAAGTTGCTTTGTGTCGCTCTCGTCTTGGACATACTCACCTCACCAACTGTTATCTGCTCAAGCGAGAGCCTCAACCAGTCTGTGAGCACTGCCAGGTCCGTCTGACAGTGAAACACATTCTGATTGAGTGCAAGCATCTCAAACCTTTGAGATCCCAGCACTACCGTGCTGGATCTTTACATCAGTTATTTGCGCAACCTTCTCTTTATGAGAAGGTTGTGGCTTTTTTAAAAAAAAGCCGGTCTTTATTTTAAATTTGAAATGGATTAGTCATTGTTTGTTTTAAATACGACGATATGGTGTATTACCTGTGGTATTGTTTTTAGTGGTTTTTTGTAGTCATTAAATGACTGTTTCTGTGATATGGTTCTTATCGTTTTTTTTTTTGTTTTTTTTTTTGTCACTATGTGACCTTTCTGTCACTATGTGACCTTTCTGTGATATTGATAGGTGTTTTATTGTTTTACTTTTTTCCTTATTTTAACGTATTCTGGAGCTATATAGCCCGTTTGGTGCTGATGCTCCTTAATGCATTTCATTTCATTTCACTTACGTCCAAGGTGTGGGGGGACATCGATGATGTCATGGCTTAAGTGTCAGGGCCTCAAATTTTGGTGGTAGATGATTTGATGGGAGAAGATACCACAACACTTGAACAATGGTTTACGAAAGAGAGTCAACAAGTGTCATTTACATCGTGCAAAATTTGTTTGATAAAAGCATGGCACGATTAGTCTGGTTTTGTTATTTGGTTTTGTTTTAAACCTCTAGGGATGCTTCGTAGTTGGGTGTGTTAGCGATGCAAATCAGGGACATCCACAATTCATGCAAGAAGCCTACACTGATGCCACCTTGATACCCAGAGGTTATTTGCTAGTGGATTTGAAACCAGATACACCAGAAGAAATGAGACTGCGAACACGAATTTTACCCTCAGAAGCCCCAGGCTCCGAAAATCATTCTTAATGGCACACACCAAAAGAACTCACCAGCCACCACCAGGTACAACCCGATTGCACAGAGCGTAGTTTGTTCCTTTCACCTCACCCGATCTAAGAGATCCAACGGCTCGAGTACCTACCCGACCTACCATCCCGGGAGCCAGGCGCAGAATCATTTCACCCTCCACATTGCCCTCTTTATCTCCTTATCACCTTTACCACCAACGCTTGCTACACTAGCTCCAGATTTACTTCCAGCGACACCACCAATGCCAACACCAATGCCAACGCCACCAAGACCCCTAAGCAAACCACTTCGAAGTCAGACGAAACAACCTCGACCAAAAAAGAGGAAAAAAGCAGCACCAATCAGACAGCCATTCGATCCCCTGGCTAGCAAAACAACGACAAAACAAGCAAATGAAGGAAATGTCCAAATTCATCAAACGCTTGAAACATCTGAATCCTGAAATGGTCTACACTGAATTGTTGAGAAATGTTGGTACTGCACGAATTGGTCTGGTTTAAACTTGCAGCCAATCATCTCCTGAAAGGAAATATTCAACCTCTACACGGTCAACACGCCAAATGGTGTGCTAGATTTGTTGTGTGGTGGCTAAGTTTAGCCTTGGGTTGGTTCAATGGAAAACGTGGTTGACAATAAAGAGAACTGTATTTAATAATCAAACTTTTCTACATAATTTTCACTGTGGCAATCTTGACTATTCAAGGGGATAAATGATAAGGGGAGATAATTGACCATTCCTCAGACAACAATAATGCAATTCGCTCACACCCCTCCCTGATGACCTGAGATACATTCTGATCACAGTCATCACAATGTCCGTGGTCTACAAAATCCAAATGATAATGTTCACTTATGATTTAACACAAAGCCTATATCAAATCTGGTAACCAAGATTTTCTCTTCTCGTCAGCTATCAGTGCGGCTCTTCTTCTTGGTTTTGGGTCCATTATTGGTGGATGAATTACTTGTGGTGGATTAACGTCTTGTGGTGGATTTACTGGTGGTTCAGGACTGGACTGGATTTCTATGGGATACAGTAATTGTATGGATCGATTAATTGTGCCTGGTTTTCCGGTATTGGTAGATGATTTAATAGCCTCTAATCATGTCATCTGAGCTTTTAATTAAGGCTGTAATCCTACCTAGTTACCACTGCCCCCTAGGTAGATTTTCATTTGAAACCAACACGACATCTCCAACAGAAATGGCTTGGTTTTGTTCACCTTGGTTGCAATGTGGAGATCTTAGCTCCAACAAATACTCCGAACTCCATCTGTTCCAGAAGTGGTTTAGGATAGAAGATAAATGAACCATCCTGGTGGTTAATTTATTATGAGTTGGGTTGAAATCTTCATCATCAAGTTCCTGTTCGAAGGCAGGTAGATTCAGAATTCGATGACCAGTTAGAAGGTTTCCTGGATAATGAACGGTGAGATGAGTCCTAGTGGGTCAGGGAACTTGGATGTGATGCTAACAATATTCCGTTGGTTGGTACAATGTCTCTGGCTTCTCTGACAACTTCTTCGAGGTTGAATACAAATTCATCAGAGGAATAATTCCATTCAACGCCCAATATTCTCTGAGTTGGCATTTTATCGCTGCTGGATTTAATCCACCTTGTGACAGAGCTGACTTGGATAATCGATATAAATTACATGCTTCTTCTTCAGTATGGGTACCTGTAGTTAGGTCGTCGACATACATAGACCTTATAAAACGTTGGGCGAAATCTGTATTTTGGTTAATGAATTGCTCCATATGGTACTTGATTGTGGCATTGAGTAAAAATGGCGACGAGTTGACTACATAGACTACTTTTGTAAACCTTAAGGTTATAATATCAGGTTCTTTCTTGCGTATATCATCAAACCAAAGAAAACGTAATATTTCACGATCTTCTTCTGGTAGTTAATCATCAAAAATGCTTTCTCAATGTCTCCGGTCAAGGCAACTTTATGTGATCGAAATTTAAGGATGATGTCGAATATTTTCTGGTTCAATGATGGTCCTGTATACAAACAATCATTCAATGATTGAGTTGAATTCGTCTTTGCAGATGCATCATAACCAATGAGTTTCTTATTTGTTAACTTGTCGTTTCGAATTACTGGGTGGTGTGGTAAGTAATGGATGGTTCCCATATAGTTGGATTTTGGTGACTTCAATATTTCGACAATTTCTTCAATCTTTATGACAAATCTGGTAGTTCTCTGAAAGCATCGGATGTGGATTTTTCACAGAAAGCTGAACTTGGTAATTTCCTTCTCTGAAAGTTATGGATTAAGTTAGGTCGTCGTATATGTTTCGGTTTGGTTGAACTCCAATAGCTTCCAAGTCCCAAAACCTTTTAACTTGTTGCTCGAGTTCAACGTGTAAAGCAGTGACAAGAGTATGCTCCTTGAATTCTTCTCCGAGGCCAAGTGATGGTCCTGACAGAATCCATCCTATGGTTGTCTCTACTGCTATGGGACCTACCTCCCTCGTTTGACTCGTCCAGTGGTGAAATCCCAATAGTGGTCTGATCCAATAAGGATATGGATTGCTCCGTTTGATCTGGGTTTCATATAATCAGCTAACCTTAGACGGATAAATGCTTGTACATGTCCTGGACTTTAGATAGATCATGACAGGATAATGGTTGGCAGATAAGTGGTAAATGTATGCAGTGATAGCTTTTCTTTGTGTAGTTTGAATGGAGATCTTCACTATCTCTACTTCTTGAAAGGTTTCATCTGTGGATCCAAAAGTCTTCAGTCTTATGGGTTTTCTTCCAATAGTTAGTAACATAAGGTTTTGCTTTAGTTCGGTTGTGACATAAGTTCTCTGGCTTCCGGTGTCGAAAAGAATTCTACAATTGGTTGAATTTCCGGTGGTGTCTGGGTTGAAGACATTAGCTCTAGCAGTTTGGAGTAAAAATCTCATCACGGCTGTGGTTTGCGTACATTACTGACGATTGAGTTTGTTCGTTTGTGTTAGCTCTGAAATCTTGTTTCTGGTGAGTTTGATCTGTGTAGGTCATGGTTTATTCCCTGCTTGATTGGTTGTGGGCTTCTGGACAAATACTTATATGGTGGCGTACGTGGCATTTTGGGCAGAATCTGGTACAGTTTCTACTTATGTGATCCTTGCGTAAGCATATAAAGCATCTCTTGGATTGAATCAGGAATTGTTTTCTGTTCTCAATGCTGGATACTTCTAAATTTCATCGAGATCCCATTCGTCCTCCTTTCCCTTTCGATTTATTATCAACTGCAACTCACCGAGTAGTTTCTCAATTACAATAGGTAATAATAGACTTCCAAAAGATGATGAAGGTATGCCCATGGATGTTAGACTTCTTACGTTGGCTTCGATGCTGTCATAGAGTTGGCGAATGCATTTTAGATTCCTCATGTCGTGGATGATTTGTAATTTGACTAATTTTTCATATGACGTCCAACAATTTGTTGTCTATTTCCGAATCGTTTTAGTAGAATGGTTGTGGCTTCATGGTAATTTGATGATGTCAAGGCTAGTCCTTGTCTATATCGGATAGTTTTGTATTCTCATGGATGGCTGTGGAAAACGTCTCCCATAAGGGTTGCCATAGTGATGGATCTCCTTTGAATTTGCGTAAATCTAATTTAGGTAACTTGATGTTGGGTGGTTTGGTATGGGCTTGGACAGGAGTTTGGTTTAAAGTAGATGGATGATTGGCAGTTTCAACAACGGACAAGTTATTAATAAGTCCACCGTTTGGTACGCTGGTAGGTATTGAAGGTTGATTTAAATTACTGTCAAGTCCAATTTTAACATCGGGGTATTAATAGAGGGCTTACTGCCAGAATCTGTTATGTCCGAATATGTTGTTTTGAGAAAAATGGACTTAAAGTTTTAAAAGGATGTATAAAATCAGGAAGTAATAATACCTTAATGTAATTTAGAATCTAAGGAGATATATCGGTCAATTTTGAGTATCTTTAATATTGATGTAATAAGTTGAAGAATGATGCAAATATATCAAATATTGACACATAATCATTTCTAGCGGAAGGTGATAAAGAAAAACATGGACATAACGTATTTAATTCTTTATCAAATCTTTAACAAACACAACTAATGTGAACGAAAATAAAAGTCAATAACACCTTTTGTGTTTAATTTTTGATTATATCACTTTTATGAATAAAAAACGCAAATAGTCAAATTCTTAGACATGAATTACATTTTACATGTAAGCACTATGTTCAACAATCATCATCTGAATCTTCTGTATCTTGTACTGCTGGAGATGGTAAGCGATCCTTAGATCTTCCAGATGTTGGTAGCGATCTATACCAGTGTTGTATCTCAACTGGAATTACCATATGGTCACACAATTTAACAAGATCATTCTTCTTTGCTTCACTAATTGGGGTTTCGAAGGAGTAAGCTTTTGGTAGTTTGATGATTGAAGGACGACCGCGACCAAAGACATTAATTTGCTTATACTCTTCACCGTAATTGTATTTGTATAGTACTACACCTGGTTGATTTTTTTGATATCTGAACGATTTAACCATCAGCCAATTTACTATATTTCCATCTACGTCACGTTTCCTGTTCTTTATTAGCTGTTGGGCAACATCTTGAAAATTGTAAATGTCGTTATATTTTAGATTAACAACATTGTAAGGTCTTTTACGTCTGGCTTTTTTAAAGACTGAAACCCAATTTAGCATCGTGAAAAGATCCAGGTTGCGTTTTTGAGATTCTATTGCAGAATGCATGCTATCGCATTCCATGTAGCTGTGCCCACTCTCTAGAAAATTGTGGGACTGCACTGCATGTACAAACATTGCTGCTACATTTTGATTCCGGTTTTGACCTCCGCATGTATCTGAAAAAAAGAGATACCTCTCTAATATTACTCGGTAGATCTGATAACCAATTGTAAACAGCAGTTCCAATCTCATTGCTTCCACGCCCAGCTTGAACTTCGTTCCAGCAGTAGCAAAATGCATCGTTAGGTTTGGCTGCATTATAAATACAGAGATTGTATAGACTAAGCTTTCTACTGTAATAGAGGAGTGATGCATTGGTATTTGGTAGCTGAAGAACGCTTTGAAGATCAAAAGTAGTAGAGATGAAATTTGAATCTTTTGTAGCTCTTAATTTATCTGAAGACTTTGCAGCTTGGGCTTCTTTACTGCGTTGGAGATGAGCCTGGTATTCCTCCTCAAAATTAACGTTATCAATGCCTGTTAAGATTTTATGTTTTGAATATTTCATGCATTGGTCTTTTTTGGGGTGAAAGAAGGAAAGGTTGTATTCAGTACAAAATAATCTTCTGTATTTTAATTCTTCTACAGGATCTGTTTTTGGTGGTACTAATTGATCACAATGCAATTTATACAACTGGTACATCTTACTTATACTCAGATCTTGGTTTGGTTCCTCACTAGTCTTGTTACTCGGTGTATGCTTGGGTGCTTTCTGTTTTTTATGTTTACCAGAAGTATCCATGTGTTCTTTCCCATTCTTATATAGGCGTTTTCTAACATTTTTCTTCCACCGAATAGGGTTTGAAGTTTTCCATCTTGTATGTTTATTGTCATCAGAAGATGACGCCTCCCCAGTTTCCGTTTCGTAAGACGGATCATTATCTGTATCATCAAAATCGGATTCCTCTATCATTTCTAATACCATGGGTGTATTGAGATTTTTATCTGAAAAGAACAGAAATAAATTTTTGACAAGATAGCCTTGAAGTTAGTTTGAAATCTAAATACACATTGATTCAATAATGAAAGGTTTAAGACCAAAATTCACAAGTCTTCACTTTTTATCATGCAAAGTTAATGCAAAATTTCCAGAATGGCATTTCAAAAAGTGCATTTAACTTGCCATCCATGTATGGAAGATGCATTTATTTTCTAACTAAAGGCAAGAAAATCAATTAAAGAATAAAATTACAAAATCTTACCTCTATTTGTTGCCATTGTGGTTTTGAAATTTGATTTAAATGTTATTGGAAAAGGGGTTCAATCAGAAGAATCCGCCATTTTTGTTTGGACTTACCAATATTTTCTTGATAAATATGTACTGGTCTTTACAGATATGTCCGACTTAATCACTTTTGCATAGCAAAATTTAGGAATATTTGGACATGATAATATTAAAAAGGTCAATGACACAATGAATTATTACAGCAGGACTTAGATTTTTCTGTCAAAGATAGGCATCATATAAGGTATTTGTTGTATGGACATAACCCATTTTCACCAAAATTGGACAAAATTCTGGCAGTAAGCCCTCGTAATGGTATATTTAATATCATCGGTTTGTTCTATTTCAGTTTCAATATTTTCTTCATCGATAAATTCCAAAATACCTTGATCTAATTTGTTAATGGCTTCCAATTTTCCTTCCAAAGCTTGCTTTATTTGGGTAAGATTGGTTTTGAATTCCGTTATTTCGTCTGGGTTTAATTCAGTCCGTTTCCTAGGTGTCTTAGGATGGAATTGTTGTTGGTTAATTGATACTTCTAGGTGAACAGTATCTTTCGGTAGAATGCTTCTAGGTGTATAAGCATACTGGGCTACTACTAGGTGAAATTGGGCCCTAATTTGAAATGGTTATTATAGATTTATGGTGAGAATGGGTGTGCATGAGTACTCGCGTAAGTAAAACAGAATTATTTTATTCACTTAAACATTTTTTGTGAACCTCTTCATGGGAAAGGTAAATTGTGTGTTCCATTGATTATACATGTACTCGGTTGTAAAACTCTACGCAAACATGAATATGCCAGTTGTTATTAGACGTATATTGTAATATAATTAATTTGTATTGTAGATGACGAAATGCTGTAGTTATGTCTTTGATGTATATAAGCTGTAGTTGATATATCGTTACGTCATCGATAAATGTAAGATCTAAACTTACATGGGAATGCGATGGTTTTCATAAATGGTAACTTCCTTTGTTATACCAGTACACAAGGACTTAACTAGATGTCTACAAGGAAAATATTTGGATTAACTGTGATTATATTTTGTGGAGGTAATGCGGAACTTAAGGTGTGTGCGGACATTATCTTGTGTGATCACTAGACATTCATTAGATTTGATTCTTACGATTTAACTATGTATGTTAATTTGTTTTGTATGTAAAATGTGTTAACAATTATCTTTGTTTTCTTTTCAAAGGGGGGAAATTTAGGATCCGCTCGTCCGTCTTGACATACATAATAATTTTCACTGTGACAATCTTGACTATTCAAAGGAGATAAATGATAAGGGGAGATAATTGACCATGCCTCAGACAACAATAATGCAATTCGCTCACACCCCTCCCTGATGACCTGAGATACATTCTGATCACAGTCATCACAATGTCCGTGGTCTACAAAATCCAAATGATAATGTTCACTTATCACAAATGGGTAGCGGTGGAGTGTTGATATGTATTTTGGTACGTTTGAGAGAAAGATTAGAACATGAGAAAAAGAAAAAAGAGATAAAAATATAAAAATATAAAAAGGCCGCTTCAAACAAAATTATTGTCATTTGACATCATGGCACCGCGTCGTAGCATCAAGTGTGTCTCTAACCAGTGTATAGCGATTTTAAACGGCAAGATTCGATTAACGCCACAAAACGGCGTCTGTTAGCTCCACACAAGAGCCCTGCTTAGCCAACCCTCGAACCTCTGGTTCGGTTTTCTTGGTACGTTGTTGGCTTCTTTGGCCTCTAGTGCTATTGGACCCATCATCGGTTCCATTGGAGGTAGAAGTTGAGGGGTATTTAAAGGACAATCATTGAACTCGGGTCTCAGTCATGAAGCCTCAACAGACCTTGGGCGGTTTCTTGAAAACTCTTTGGCGAAATCACATTTTGAACGATAAGAAGGTCGTGGATTGTTTATGTGAATGTATTGGTAATTTGATTCGGGGTACGTTACCGTTATCAGATGCAGAAACAATACGTTTGCGAACAAAGTCATCCTTACTAAGACAGCTGGGCACTCCCAAAACACTTCAACAACACGGTAAAGGATTGTGGAAACCCGTCTTTCACACTTTGCTCAACAAATTAAAACAACGATGAAGTTTACACAAAAAATGAGATTGGTCCCAGCAGATGAACCAGAGAAGATTGTGACGGTTAAACCATACGAACCTGTGTAAATTCCAGTCAAAGATGCTTTAGAAGAATAAAGTCAAGAAATGCAACGTTTACTTAAGTCCAATAGTCCAGACTCTATTAAAATGGATCAATATGGACAAATGTTGCAGCGATATCGAATACTACAAATAAAAGATATGCACCAGTCGTATCTGAGACAACAAACAACAGGCCTGACGACGTCGCTCCTCTGGGAAAACCCGATATTCAAACTTCGGTACCGAAACATATCAAGGCAAAGCGCATGTGTTATTGTAGCATTTAGAAAGGAAAACACTCTACCTTTTGGAACGACAAATACGAATTGATTCATGGTGGTCAAGTGATGAAAGGAACAAATGTGGTCAATGATTTCATTCGCAACCGCAAAACAGCCAATGCCCCCTTTGGTTGGGAAGCCGTCATGAGAAGTTTACCGTTCCCGACACTCAAACAGTCGTCACCAATGTGACCAAAGTCAGCAAATATCCATTGACCAGCGATCTGAACCACGATGGTCCATTGGAATTTTTGATTCCTAATTCAAGTACGGATTTCATCGACTTGGTCAACATAAGTTTGTATCTAAAATTGAAATTCGTCAAAGAAGATGGGGCGAATGTTGATGATAAAAAAAAAATCGGACCGGTCAACAATTTCTTTGTTTAAAGATGTGAAAATGCGCCTTGGAAAAGATTCTGATACGTTGGTGACCGCTTCCTTGCCCAAATATCCCTATAGAGCTTATTTGGAAAATTTCCTGATTTTTGGTCGTGGAGCCAAAAACGATCAACTTAACCAACAGGTTGTGTGGGAGAAAGATACGGCTGATCAATTAGATAGTACAAAGGCAGTGGAAAAAGGTGTCGGTAATGCCATCGTACCCGTGGTTAATCATGGATGGGTGAAAGTTTAGATTTCGGGGAAGTGAGGGTTTGATTCTCCAAAATGTACAGGCCTAGGGTGGAGCAGACACTGTATTTAGAAATTAGGATTAAGGGTCTTGATATTGGATTTTCTTCTGTTCTGATTCTGATCTGAAATTAGAAAAAATAAGAAGTATAGTATCTGTTATGTACTGATTGTTTTTAGTTTACTATGAACAATATCATCATTTAAATTCTTAGTTTTATTGTCGTCACCTATGTCCGTCCGCCCGTCCGTCCGTCGGTCCGTCCATCCACAATTGGCTTGTGAATGAGACAGAGACTTTTGAGTTATTGCCCTTGACTTAGCCAAAACGCGTCAAAATTAGTTTGTGAACGCGATAGAGACTACAGTTTTTATCTGATTTGAATGAAATTTCGTGTGATCATTTATATTCATGAGATCTTGGACAAGTTCGATATTCACGATTTTTCGATGAACGGTTTTTGAGTAATTGCCCCTGACTTATGAAAAACGCATCAAAAACTGTTTGTGAACACAATAGAGACTACAGTTTTCATCCAATTTAAATGAAATTTGGTGTGAATATTTATAATGATGTGATCTTGGTCAAGTCTGAAGTTGGCTATATTTCGATGAACGGTTTTTGAGTTATTGCCCTTGATTTATGAAAAACGCGTCAAAATTTGTTTGTGAACTAAATAGAGAGTACAGTTTTCATCCGATTTAAATGAAATTTGGTATGATCATTTATAATGATCTTCTTAGTCAAGATTGAATTTTTCGATCAACAGAATTTGAGTTATTGCCCATGACTTAGTAAAAACTCATCAAAATTTGTTGGTGATAGAGGTGACAGTTTATGTCAGAATTTTATTAAATAATGTGTCTTTGTTTAAATGAACAATATCTTGCACAAATTCGATTTTTGATATGATTTGACACAGATGTACTGATATACTGAAAATGTATCAGGAAAGTGGACGTATCTTTCTAGGCAACCACTCGTTTGAATATGCAACTATCATTTTCTGCTTATAGACATGGGGAAATTTCTCTTGAAGGCTCTTATAGTGGGCATGAACTATCTTGCTTGCTCGATTGCTGGTTATATTGAACGGGACAACAAAGGGTGCTATGCCTACATTATGGTGAATATTTAGTCCTCTATGTCTTGCTGTATTCAATATCTCAATCCAATGGGCTTCCCTAGATTGACGGAATTTGGTAGTTTCATCTTCGGGCAAGTCAATTTCTATGCGCTCATTTGGGATTAGGGTGAGATCGTCTATTGAATGGTCGTCGAGGTTGAAATGATTAGAAACAGGCTTGTCTTTCATTAATTTGATATTCAACCTATGAGCATTAAAACGAGTTCGTAAATTATTCTTAGTTTCTCCTACATATTGTTTAGGGCATTTCTTGCATGAAATTAAATAAATTACATTCGAATGTTCACATGTTAGATGTTCCTGGATCCGATACCTTTTATTCGTAGAGTTGCTGAGTTTCTGATATAATGGGACATGTTTTGCATCTACTGGACAAACATGGAGCACTCCTTAAACCTGGAGTTACTTCGGTATAAAGCCTGTTTTTAGCTGCTATCTGTGCTAAGGTTGAATTGTTTATGTTTCGTACAGTATCCACGTTCTTTTAGTTTTGAGAAAACAATCGTACAGGCTTGGTTGAAATCAGAAGATCTTGTGCAAATTCGATGAAATCGTAAAACTTGTTTTTAATTATACCAGAAAAGGTACGTTTTGGGTGAAAGGGTGCAAGAGTTGACGAGTATCAGTTGCTTTGAAATACACTTTAATAGCCAGTTTATTTGTTTCTGCTATGAAATCTCCCTTAAAGACAGTGGTATCGAGAAAGTCTATGCTTTTGTCACTCACGTTTGCGGTAAGTTTGATGGAAGGATGGTGGTTGTTGAGAATTTCAAAGAATTTCCAAAACTGTTTGATAGAATAAGTCCAAACCATAAAAATGTCATCCAAAAAGCGTCCCTAAAAAAAGTGGTCAAATGGACAGAGTTCCCACTCTGCCATGAATAGGTTTGCGTATGAAGGGGCGAATCGTTTGACTATAGCTGTCCCTGAAGTTTGTAAATATGTTTTTCCATTAAATGTGAAATCGTTTCGACTAAGACAAATCTCTAAAAGCTGTAGAATTGCATCGTCGGGTCTGTTTGGATCTGGGTTTCTATTAAAAGCTTTACGAACTGCCGTTAAACCAGTAGTGTTATCGATATTGGTATACATAGAAGAAACGTCGATAGAAATTAAAATAGCATTAGAGGGAACTCGAAGATTTTTTATTTTATTGACAAAATCGGTTATGTCTTTAAGGTAAACGCGATGTTGACATGTTAGAGGTAGTAAGAAATGATCAATGTATTCTGACACTGCATACGACTCACTACCACAGTCAAATATAATCGGGCGGCCTTTATGGATTTTATTCGAGATAAACCACTCCTTGGTTGGATTCTTATGGATTTTAGGCAAAGTGTACAAATGTCTCTCACGGCAATCAACCCCCAGTGGCCCGGGGTCCTAGACGGGTGGCCGGTGTGGCCCACACTAGTCAATCGGCTTGTCGTGTTGAGCCCATGAGTCGGTGGTCAGAACAGATTAAACTTTTTCTTGTAATAGTTAGTATCTTGTTTCTTCCAAATCATTTCACTGACTCAGAAGCAGCGGCTTGGGTCAATTGGGTAAATCTCCCGATTACCCCTAGGGCGCCAGCGCCAGCGCCAGCGCCAGCCCGTGCGGATGTCGTGGTCCGTGGTGGTCGGGGGTCTCGGGAGATGAATTCTTCTTTTTTCTTCATGGCTACACAAACAAAAAAAAACACAATCGAGCGTAAGCAAGAGGATTGACAGGTCTTGCAAGTGAGCCCAAATCTACGAAAAAACTGCGTAACGGCTCCTTGTTGGTTGAATGTGCACGCAGAATTCATTCTGAACTCTTGCTTAAATCGGTCACTTTGGCAAACATACCAATAAAAGTTTCACCTCATTCCTCTCTGAACTCTTCCAAAGGGGTCATTCGACATCCAGACCTCAATGGATGATCTGCTGAGGAAATGAAGGAGTTACAGGATATTGGAGTCACGAACGTCGATAGAATATCCATCCGTCGTGACGGCCAAATAAAGAGAAGCTGACATGGATCTCAATATCGCCTAAAAGACATTTTTTTAAATATCTATAACTATTTAATACAATTTCCCAAAGTTATACAGCAATAATATAGCCCAATGCCTCAGAAAAACACTTTTTATGCCACCCCTGCACCGGTCGTTAATCAGACAGTCGTCAATAGTCGCCATTTCTGTGTGACGTCACAGAGGTAAAGAGCAAACATGGCGCACCGTGAAAGTGATAGCAGCAACTCGACTGATTTCGAAAGAAATGTAATTTTATCGTGTTCTGAGAGCTCCTATGATCTTGAGGAATCTGATAGTGAAAGAAGAAGATCTCCAGATAATTTTGCAGAAGGTCACGGCAATTTGTCGTATAGGTACGAACTCTATGCCTCCGACGCCGATGGTGACGATGAGGGTAGCGGAAGTGAAGTTGGTGAACCAGCTGCTACAGGGGGCATTCCTGCCGATTTTAGTAGGCTGAACAATATTGAATGGTAAGTTGAACACATTGTTTTATAGAAAGTCGTTTAAAAGTCAGATTTTCCTTGATTTTAATATGCTTGACGGAAATTGAAAGTCACATCAAGCGTTACTATAAATAGGCTAGATGCGTGGCGCCATTTATAGAAAAGGGATTCCCTGTGGCTTCCTACCCTGTTTCAGTATGTTTGTTTTCTCTTATGTAAAATAATGCGTCATTTCTGGGTGCAGAAATCATGAAAACATCAGTTAATTCCAGTCATTACTGAGTTGCTAAGTTAGTGGTTTTTGGCATTCATTCGAGTTTGACATAGGCCTAGTCCTGACCTAGGCAATTGTAACAAAAAAAAGAAACAAAACAAAAAGACAGTTGACTGGAATGTTGTTCTTTATCATTTAAAGTTAGTTTAGCCCATTTACAACCCCTTATCATTTGCAATAAACAAATCAAGTGCTAACCATCCGAACTGCAAAACGAAACTCGAAATCCAATACAACATTTTGGCAGGTCTGTCGGGACCCAGATGTACTTGATGTAGACTACAGCCACTATACAAGCAGCATTATGGGCCGATGGACAAATCCCAAAATGAGTAAGTGAACAAATTAGTATTTATTTCTCCCCTTTTGGTTTAGACTCGGGGTTATATTTATTGTTTAGTATTCAGTGTTAGTTAGTTAGGTTAATGGATGTAAATAAAGTGTTTGTTAATATTGTAAGCGTTAGTATCAATTGAAGGAAAGTGTCCGTATCCAGTTTCTTACAAACGATTATAGAGTTTGTAAGAATGATCAACTTTGCAGTTTACAAGTAGAACCCGCCAACTTGCTCCGTTACAGTGGTCAGCCATGCAAACAAGCAGCCCGTTTACATTACAAGTATAACATTTTGATGCATTTTTATAATGATTATATTTCAGACGCCGCAGATACACAGCATATCGTCAGTTTATGCGCTGGATATGGGACTTCCTTGGTAAAAACATCAGAGTACCGCTACCTGCATGTGTTGTCACACAAGTAAGACAGAGATATCCTTCACCAGAATTTACAGGTTTCCTGGATGTGGAATCTGCTTCTTAATAAAAAGTAATAAAAGCAATAATCTCATTATTTCACATGGGTCGAAATTAGGTCTATTATTTCAAAGTGAAATGGGATCAATCATCAATACAAAAATACAACTAGAGCCACTCGTGGCACAGAGTGGGACTTTGCAAATGTAGCAAAATGCAAAAGAACCTGAAAAAATCAACCTTCCACGATAATTAGATCAAGCGCAAGAACGGTGTAAAGTTGAGAAATTTTCATTTTTTAGAAGATTGTAATACCGGAAGTGGACGTCAGACCTCACAAATGAAAGTATCAGCAGATAGCCAAGGTCAATGACCTTTGATCTTGTAAAGAAAAAGGTCTAAAAAGGTCAAGATCAAGAGATATACGCCATCAAAATTTCAAATTGCTAACGACTATAAAACCGGAAGTTGACATAGGACGGCAAATATAAAAGTATAAATAGATAGCCAATGCCAATGACGTTTGATGTTAGAAAGGTCAAGGTCAACAAAGGTCAAGGTCAAAAATTGAAAATTTTTAAATTCCAAAACCTGTTCCTTTTTTTGAACTATGAAGCAAAAACAATTGAAATTCTAAGACAAAGTGGCTCAATATATGAGGTAATTGTATGCAAAGTTCCATTTTGAACAAATGTATACTTTGCGAGTTATGCCCCTGGCCAAAAATGTCAATAATGAGTAATTTAACCCGGATGTGCCACGCCCACTTCAATTTTTTTTGCATAGGTTAATTGATATTCAGAATGTTACGTTATGTTCGAAATGTAAAGCTCCTACATAATATAGGTCAAAAGATATAGGTCAACAAACGTCAACAAAGGTAAAATCGAAAAATGAAAAAATCCAAATGTTAAAACCCGTTCCTTTTTTGGAACTATAAGGCTGAAACAACTGAGCTGTTAACACAAACTGGCCAAAAGGATGAGGTAATTGTGTGCAAAGTCCCTTTTTGAACAAACACATCCTATGCGAGTTATGCCCCTGCCTCTAAATGTAAACAATTAGTAATTCAACCCGGATGTGCCACGCCCACATAAGTTTTTTTGTCATAGGTGAATTTATATTCAAAGTGTCTAGTTGTATTCCAAATATCAAGGTTCTACATCAAATAGATGATAAGATATACATATACCAAGCTCAAAAAGACGCAAATATTGTAAAAAAAAAACTCAAATTTGAAAAAATCACGAATTTCAATTTTGCTTTAAAACAACGATTGTTATATATCTGTGTAAAGGGCATGAGAAGCACATTATGAAACCGAAAAAATTAACCCTCTAGGTTAATTAGGTCACGTGCTAGAGCAGTCCAAAGTTGCGAATTTGGCTTTTTACAGATAGCTATAAAACCGGAAGTACATGTAGGAGGTCAAAGGTCAAAGTATCAAATGATAGCCAAGGTCAATGACCTTTGACCCTATGAAGGTCAAGGTCATCAAAGGTCAAGGTCACATGGTGTGATCGTTTAAAGCTTTAAAAAATTTCAACCGGAAGTTGCAAAAAAGCAAAAGCGAAATTCAAAATTCGGCTCCCAATGTTTTTTGCGCAATCGATTGCAAACTACATTCACATCAAATTTGAGCATATCAACATTAACCCTGAGGCCCCATTTTGAGTTTTATAAAAGTGTGTTTTTTCAATATGGCGGCCAAAGTATCGCTTCCGGTCTGGATTTTATTTTAAAATCGGCCATAAAATGTTATTTGCCAAAGATCAGCCAAATTTTGTTGACCTACATAAATTACACCGGAAGTTATTCAACCGGAAGTAGATTTGAACTTCAGTCGCTTTCCTGTTTAAAATCGGAAATGACGTACAAAATTTGACTGTATCATATTATTAACATTAGTGAAGTCTCTTTGCATTTGAAATTTCAGATCAATCGATGCAAAAGCAAAAAAGTTGCAAAAAAATCGAAAAATTTGATCGAAAAAAGTGAGCGACGAATTTTCGAATTTCGTAATTTTTCAAGTGCTATCAGGTCAGAAATTACAGGTAGATTATAAAAATGAAAACCCGAAGAAAATCGATGCAAAAATACGCCTTCTAGAGCCGATTTTCGACTTTTTGCACATGTTGAACTGTGGCAATTCCAGTTTTGCAAAAATGTTCCAATATATATTTAAGGAACACGTTGCCACTACAGAAGGTCTAGAGAAGTTGAATGGTTGCTGCAACTACTGCAGTTTAAGCTCAGGAAGGTGTGTAAATTTCGAAAAAAAAAAAAAACTAGAGCCACTCGTGGCACAGAGTGGGACTTTGCAAATGTTGCAAAATGCAAAAGAACCTGAAAAAATCAACCTTCCACGATAATTAGATCAAGCGCAAGAACGGTCTAAAG